ATTATTTATTTATTTATTTGTTTGTTTATTTATTAACTTTATTTATTTTCCGAATTCTCCAGCTACCAGATTAGATTTTGCAGAACAAGTGTGTTTGTTTGTTTGTTTTTGTGGGTTTTGTATCATTTTCATTTTCAGCACTCACTATATATTAAGCAGTGTTGGGTGTGCCGCCAGAAGCAGATAAAAAATAGGCAAAATTATAGCAAGATTATAACTAGAGAAGTTGACGACTACTGAATGACCCACTCCTTTTTCTTTTCATTTAGAAAACCGTTTAAAGTGTGTTTAGAGGCCTGTCTTATTTTACGTCTTGGTCCAATCTACCGGACTGCATGGTCGAACGAGAGTGGGACAACCTTTATCCTGGACTATGAAAAAACGGAGAAATTTGCGAGGGCTAAGAATGGTAGCTGGTGGGGTGATGGATTGAAACGAGATTTGGAGAGGGTTGACGGGATTAAGGGGTGGAATCCAAGAAAAATACAGGAGTTTTTGTGGGTTAAGAAGCACGGCTTGAAAAAGGAGAAAATGATTGATGATAGTTATTTCTGTTTGTTCTCCCATTTGTAAGGGAACGCGATTATAGACTCTCGAATTAACACTAGATCTGCCAACACAACAGATAATGGGAAATGCATCTCGTCCTCGGGGATTCAAACCCCCGTAACACAGTCGTGAGTCGTTATGCTAGCAGACTATCTTCCGTAAACTATCTACTTCAGAATATTACCCTATCTCCCCTTAGAAATAAGCTGCCAAACAAAAGTAACAGCAATAATTATCTATACATCACTCTCACAACAACTACGACGTCTACTAACACTTCTAACTACTGCTGCTGCTAAAACAACATGTTTTACAGCCATTACTACTACTACTACTACTACTACTACTACTACTACTACTACTACTACTACTACTACTACTACTACTACTACTACTACTACTACTAGTAGTAGTAGTAGTAGTAGTAGTAGTAGTAGTAGTAGTAGTAGTAGTAGTA